TACAATTTTTGTCTTTGTTGTACATTTGTTCAATGTTCAAAATTAAAAAAAATTTTTCTTCTTAACATTAAGAATAAAATCATTCTAGATGTTATTAGAACAGATACTGAAATACTCTTTGTAAAGAGTATTACAAATACTCTTGTACACCTAATAATATTTTAATTATAGCGTTATAATTTTCTTTCTATCAAAATATTTGATTTACAGCTAAAAGTATACATTAAGTAGAAATATAGCTGTAATTATAATGAAGAGAGAGATTATATGTATTTCTTAATTTTCCTTTTAATTTCTAACTTATATTGTGATTCAAATAGTCCTATACGATCCTACATAATCTTCTAGATTTCTACAAAGTATAAAAATATTCCTGAAATATTAGCTGTCGATTGCTGTAGCGATTCTGAAGTGATCTTTGACAACTGAGAAATATATACAGTAGCATTATTTCAGGAATTATTTTGCACTTCTATCTTCTATGCGATACATCGGACATATGTATATTTCAGTTTGCTGCAAATTTTACAGATTTTAGAATTACGAAATTGTGTTTAACCCTTAAGGCGCACACGTACCTCAGAATTTCATAAAGCGCATACGGGGTCTTTGTAACCCCAGCGTCTAAAATGATCTGTGTAACCTACCGTATTTAGAATTTCGTTGTGAAAAAATTATGGAGTGTTCTTTATAATGTTCTTCTTAAGGTTTAATGGTTAGAATGACCGAAAGTTAATTCAGTCGATCAGGAAAAAATCTTTTAGTCGATCAGGAAATAATTTTTTAGAAAAATAAAAATGAATAAAAATGCTTTAAAACCTTTCAAAACACTTGTTTTTTCGACGCTTAAGCGCTGTAGCGCTTTAAAAAAAAAATGGGGTCACCTGGACCCCGTGTGCACCTTAAGGGTTAAGAAAACAACTAAAAAATAAACTATACACAATATCAGTGTTATACATGCTGCTTAAAAAAAAAAATGGGGTCACCTGGACCCCGTGTGCGCCTTAAGGGTTAAATATGCTAAAAGATTTTAAATGATTTTTCACAATTTGACACAATTTCAAGATGACAACTTCATGAAACCATGTCTGAAACAATTTAATTTCAAAGATACAGATGTTGGTGCTACTTGACAAATCTAAAGGCAAATTCAAGCATAAATAGATATTTCCTTTTTTTTTTTAAATGATACCCACTTATCCTTAGGTCCGTCCCTAATTAAATCCAAAAAATAATGTATAGTCTTAAAAGAGGCTGTCTTTCAAACATATACAAAGTTTCATCAAAATAATTAGAATGATTTTCAAAATTTTTTTTCAACTCTGATATTTTCTGTATCTTTGAAACTAAGCTATATTAAACATATGGTCTTGTGAAGTTTTCGTCTTGAATTTGTGCGAGGAATTATCCCTTAAAATTTTTAATACCCTTAGTGTACATCCTATATAAGATATATTATAATGATGTCTATTGTCTCAGGGTCGTGCGGTTAAATGGAAGCAAGAATTACACCAGCAATGCCAAGCTAATCGGGTTTATGCACACTTCAGATGGATGTAGATTGTAGATAATAGTGAATTCAATCACTTGTACAAGACTAGTTGACATCAAGGCTCAGACACAATGGGAAAAAAAAGAAATAAGAAGAAATAACGGGAGAAAAAAGAAATAACAGATTTCAATATATCAGAAACTTGTATTCTGATTTCTAATTAAAATTTGTTATTCTTTACTTCTTATCCTTTTTTTTGTTTCTAAACACCAAATATGTAGCAAGATAATATATGGTCAATTTTATCATTTATGATTAGCTGGTCTATTAAGTCAATTGTGATTGGTTAATTCTATTTTTAACAAGAAATATTGTTGGGCCATTCCAATGGAATTTGATCGACCAAACTAATTAGAGATGGAAAAACGTCTGGTGAAACCAGGCCATGATCAATTTTTGACTACAAAACAATACAGTGTATATTTTGTTAAATAAATGTGACAATATTATTAAGCATTTAGTTTAAAATACTTTTATGCTTTACATTTAATTTTGTTAATTTCATATGTAGCAGTTTTCAGTACTCACTAATCTAGTGTAATCAAAGCAACCAAATTCACTATAAAATAAATTTTGTATGTATAAATTAATTAATTTGCATAGAAATCATATAATAATGCATAGAAATGTTTTATACAAATTTAATAAAATTGTTAAACCATTCCCAGAATACATCTAAATTTGTCAACATCAATTATTTGTCCTAGCTTCATATTTATTTTTAAGATCTCCTTTTGAGAAGTCAGCGTTATTTTTCTGTATAAAGGATCAGTAATACTGATCGGATTATCTGACATGGGGTAAATTTCATTACAAGAAACTTTCAAGTCTATTCTCTTTCCCCAATAATCTATATAAGATAATATCACTTTTTCTTCATCCAATTTCAAGTATACATATCCTATGAGATTATTGCATAAAATTCCAACAGAATGCAACCATAGTGTTGTTATAATTCCTGTGGATAAAAAGAGAAAATATTTATATAAATCAATTTTACTTGAGAGAAATGTAAAATATGTTTATATTTTACCAGTTGTTAATGACACAGTAGTTATGTCAAAGGGTAAGAAGTTGGCCAAGTGAAGTCCAACAATTATTGGTGCGACTACTCCAGTGAATATAGTAAATCGGTATTTTACAACATTTATACCACAAGCTTGTTTGATAAAAGGAAATACATAAATAACTTCATAATCAGGAAATCTCGTGGAGGTAAATTCCTCTTTTCGCTTTTCCTCACTTTTATTCGCAACATGACTTATTGTTTTAATGTTCGGTGATCTAACACTGTTTGAAGTACGATATAAAAATCGTTCGCAAAAATTCAACAAGAGTCGGGAATACATTGGAAGCTTGTCATAGACCCCTTTTACACTGTCAATGTAGTACGCGTATCAAATTGGTATGGAATAAATATTTAATAAAGTATTATTTACACCGATCTATCTCAGAACAAATTAGGTTAAGTAACATGATGTCTTCACTGCTCTTTTCAAGATTACAAAATCCTTAATTCTAACTTTAACCTGAACTTATTGTTAATAGCAGTGGCGAGTTTAATATACATATGATTTAAAACGAACAAAGTGTTTACAGCACGCTGAGACTTTTTAATATCATTTAATACGCGTACCAGCTCAATTTGAAGAGAGAGACACTTGCAAACTGAATACACCGGCATGGTGTAATTAGTAATACACCATGTGTCCATCATTTGTCCATACTTCACTATTGCCACCGTATGGACTTCTACCATGAATAAATTAATAGATTATGACAGCTGTCAAAAACTGTCAAAGTCGCACGAAATCGAAATGTACAAAATGAAATCAAGAAATATACGACACAGCATACATTTAAGATATTAATATTTTAATACAATAATATTATACAAAATTAGGATAAATATAAAACAGTAAGCGAAATAGACAATTTTGTATGATTTTATTTACATTTCAGCTACATTAAAAATTAATATATAATAGGACAACAAAAAAATGATATACCATATGATTATGAAATTATATATTAATAATATAAATGTAGGTATATAAATTATATAATCATATAATATGAATAAGAGAACTACACTTTTCAAAATGACCCTTTCAGGAATTATTAGAGTGCAGTCACAATAGAAGGGATAAGAAATAAAAGAAATTTCAACATATCAGAAACCAGTGTATTTCAGTGTATCCAATTCCTGATAAATTAAAACCTGTTATTTCTTGTTTCTTTTATTAAGCCTGCATTCTTATAGTTCTGATGCTAACTTCACATATTCGATTGTCTATAAGTAAAAAAAAACCGAGATCTTCGCAGCTATTATGGACATCGTACATTTCGTATAAATACATTTAAACTTTATAATTATTTTTCCTACTCAAGAGGAAAAACGAAATAATAATAAAAAAAATCGCTTTAAAACGATTTGATTTCTATGCGACTTTCAAATCAAAGTTGTTTTATAGTTTGTTGTAAATGTTTCGTCAGTTTATTTGTTATTTTTGTATTTAATGCAAGAAATAATAACTGACAATAACAAACTCCAAGTATACAAAAATAAAAGATTTTAAGCATCAAATTTTGCCGCGTATCAACGCGGAATATAAATATCCAATATTATTCCTTATAATAATCGTGATGCATTCGTTATGCAATGAGCTGTGCAAATTTAAAAAAATATATAGCTCATCAAAATTATCAATAATATATTTCACTGAGCGATACAAATAAATGTTAGTATTCCTTCTGTGAATAAAGGATTGTAAACCTTCGATCTAAATATTGCATGTATTATAATAAATGTCTAAACTTACAAAAAGCAAACAAACTTATTTTCGCAAACAATTCGTTGAAATTGCTGGAAATTACTTCTTTTACACAGAAATATTAAATAATAGCAAATATCACATGTAATGGATAAAGACCGTATAATATAGTCAGTATCTCTCTGCACAACCTATAGCTCGAATAACATTACGTTAATGCTTTCATAATTTGAAAAAGAAATTCACAGTTACATTTTAATAAAATACACTAAGTTAATGTTTCTGTATAGCTAAATATATAGACGTTGTGTCACTCACCCTGCGGGTAAGTATATATGTTAATACAATATTTGATTAAATTTAATTACAATAAGTAATTCTCAGTTTATTCTATTCGCTCTTCAGATTTTTATCATTGATAATATACTATGAAAAATGTCATAATATCCGAGTACTAGGATCATGATACGTATACTTTAAAATTTTTAACTCTCTCTCTCTCTCTCATTTACTCACTCTTTCTTTCTCTCTCTCTCTCTTTCTCTTTTTCTCTCCCTCATTTCTATACACATTGAGTTTTGTAACTCAATTTCGAAATGATCGTAACCATTATGAACGCTTATAATTACAGGATCTATAACTCTTGCTGACTGTTATTGAGAGCACTAAAGTTAAGATTCACATAAGCACCACTTGTAACTTACGTTTATTATTCGTTTATGTATATTTTTTTCTGTAAATTCTATTACACACCATAAATATTGTTACTGTTTCCGTATTGTACCAACATCAAGCGTTTTTCTCAAATCTTTTAAGCAATAAAAATTATACAAACCTATATATAAATATTCGATTAATTAATCAACATTAAGTTAATCGACATGTTAATCTTCTTCCATCAAAAGATAATTAAGAATGTTATCTTCCAAGATTTTGTGTGTATAGAACAAATTATATATATATATATATGCATGCATGCACACACACACGCACGCACTCACGTACGCACACACACACACACACATGCACTCTTAAATTTAATTTTATAAAATTTTTTTAAGCTTTGTGTTAATCGTGCAAATTGATGTGTTAATATATTTTCAAAAAGAAATCGTTAGCAGAATTGTATTTTCATAATTTTAAATATTCTATCTAGGACATGCAGAATTCATACAATTATACTATCGCGCAGAGACATTTAAATTGCTATTATGATAAAATTTTACATATAATGTTATAAAATTTTCTGGCTTATGTCTACTGTAAGAGTTGAACTTTTGCTAAAATGCATTACTATCTATGTGCTCGCTTGTAATTTTGTACATTCTTTTATTATATATATATAGTAGATCTTATTCTGTGTAAAACCGATTTCCTTTGTATAACCAATTATATTTTTTATCATGATCTTTATATATACATATATGTATATATATATATGTATATAATAGTAGACATAACATATCTTTTACTTTCTCCACATTTA